AGACTATTTAAATTTTAACTAAGATGCACTGAAGTACCAAATTATTGACGACACGTGTCTGCAGCACGATTAGACACTCGTTTATTTAGTTCATCAGCAAAAAAAAGTTCCAGAGTTTAACTCCACTCCCACTTCCTGTTTGAAAAATGCAACAAACGCTGTTGCCTGGCAGACCGAGAGGGCGGAGCCGCAAACAAATACACACACTCACGACATTGTGACATCACAATGTACTATCTAACACCATTGTGTACCTCTTAGCCAATAGCGACGGCAGATTTAAATTCAAATGCAGGGCTCAGTTTTGCCTGACGACGGTGCATCGCTGACAGTTTTAGGCAGAATATTTACATTTTAACTAAGACGCACTAAAATGCCAAATTGTTGACTACACGTGTCTGCAGCACGATTAAACACTTGTTTATTTAGTTTATCAGCAAAAAAAAGTTTATTTGGGGGTGACTCGCTCTTTTAATTTTAACTAAGATGCACTAAAGTGTAAAATTATTGACTACACATGTCTACAGCACAATCAGACACTCAGTTATATAGTTTATCAGCAAAAAAATGTTGATTTGGAGCGACTTGCTCTTTAAATAATCTTTTTGTTATTTGTCAGCTTGATAGTATTAATAATAACTTTATTTATGGAGCGTTTCCAGTCCAGTCTGATGGAATAAAACGTTAAAAACAGCTGATTAATTTCACCGTCTCATGCACGCGTGAGACAAAAGCTACAAGGGTGGAAGCTAAAGTCAGAATATGTTTAATGTATAATAAATGTAGACATAGAAGTGACAGTTTCATAAGGAAATGAGTTATAAATGTTACAGTCGGGCTGCACAAAGACCAGATAAACCTCATCAGTGATTGAGGAGGAAGCCGATCTCTGCAGACGACTTGTAATCTCTGATGACGAGATGTTTGTTAGTTCAGCTGGTCTGGTCGCTGATCGGGACTCGGTGTGAGAGAAGGTTTTGTGTTTTAGAGAGCAGAACGAGACAGAGAGTCCTGATGCGTGACGACAGGAGCACAGGTCTGGGCAGGGCCGCTGTGTGTGTGTGTGCGTGTGTGTGTGTGTGTGACGTTGTGTGTTAAAGGGAGCTGCTCTCGGGCGTTCACACACACACACACACACCACAGGAAGACGCACGGGACGCAGCAGCAGAACATCAAGTGAGACTCTTTCCTTTATTTTGACTCAGCTTGAATAAGTTGCTTCCACTCATTTAGACTGATTTTTACCTCGTTTTGGAAATGATTGTAACTTATAATAAATTTATTAAAACTTTAACTTTAACCAGAACAAAGATGATTTTGTAAACCAACCAAGAACAAAGGAGTTTTAAATGTTTCATGAGAGGTTAGGGTCTTAAATGTTGGCCAGGATGCCGTCACGGGGACTTCTGTCGGATGAAGCGACACCAGAAGGGAGACATTCGGACTTTACCGAAACTAAAACTCCTAAAAGTTTGCTGCGGGTTGGGCGAATGCTGGATGACGGTCTGATTCCTCTTTAGTGTCCAACGGTTGCAGAAGTGTGTTGCTGGTTCCTCCTCCTGACCCTCATGAAACACGATCCACCGTGACAACGAAAACACGGGCCGTGATCTTGATCTTTACAAAAGTTCTGCTCCGCACAACCTTTTCCAGGAGAATACCCGACATTCAGCCAATCAGAGGAAGGAAAAATCATCAGTCAAAGCTGTTCTCTGGCTGAGAATTATTCAGTCACTTCAATCAGTCTAAACCAAATGTTTGTTTTGTGTGGTTTCAGATGAAGCCGTTAGCTCTTCAGCGGTCCCGCTTTCAGGTAGCGGCTAACTTATCGCTTGCGTTCATTTAAATGACGACCTTTGACTGTGATCAGTACAGTTACATGAATCACTTTGTAATATAAGTGCGAAAATGTGTCTTAAAGGGACAATGTGTAGTTTTTATTGTTAATCTCTGGAAATATCCATCAAAATGTTGTTGAAAATGAGCGAAAAACATTGGCAGCTTCGTAACACATAACCCAAAAAATCAGGAGCTAAGTCTCTGGGAGACGCAATTTTAGAGGCCATGTTTCCTTCTACGGGAGCCCTTGAGGACAAAACACATTTACTGTTTTGCAACAAACGTTTACAAAACGTTCCCCGTTAATAAATGTTGTCGTTTTACACATTTACCTCTTCACTCGTTGCCAGTGATGAAAGGGAGTCTCATGTGCTCGTCATTTTGCTGAAGCTTGCACTCCCCGTGTCTTTTTGACCCTAATAGGCATCCATTGGTAAGGTCTTACTCCAACACAAAACCACTGCTTGCTTGCAGCAGTTTAGGTATCTACTGCCCCCTATCGCAGGAAAAATACACACTGTCACTTTAACTCTTTAAGTTCGTCACCAAGAGAAAAGCAAACAACACATTTCACTCTTGCGTTTTTTGATTTGGGGCAACAAGGGCTTTAGTTTATTGTAAATTATTAATATTAATAATATACCAGCCATCTATTTTTGCTGCTTATCCGGAGTCAGGTCACAGGGGCAGCAGCCTAAACAGGGAGGCTCCCTCTCCCCAGCTACGTGGGCCAGCTCCTCCAGGGAATCCCAAGGCATTCCCTGGGCAGCCGAGAGACATAGTCCCTCCAGCGTGTCCTGGGTCTTCCTTTGGGTCTCCTCCCAGTTGGACGTGCCCAGAAAACCTCACCAGGGAGGCGTCCAGGAGACATCCTAACCAGATGCCCAAGCCACCTCAAGTGGCTCCTCTTGATGTGGAGGAGCAGCTGGTCTACTCCGAGCCCCTCCCAGATAACCGAGCCAGCCAACCTGCGGAGAAAACTCATTTTGGCCGCTTGTATCTGCGACCTCGTTGTTTCGGTCACTACCCGAAGCTCGTGACCGTAGGTGAGGGTATCAACCAGTAAATTGAGAGCCTCACCTTCTGGCTCAGCTCTCTCCTCACCACAACAGATCGGTACAACGCATAGTAATATACTAATTATAAAACATTAGGATTATAATAATGCAGTATAACAAACAACTACATATTATTTAGAATAATTTGGTTTTACAGTTTTTTTAAGTTAATGTAATGCTTCAGTGAGAATTAGAGACTTAAATGATCCACTAACTTGTCAGCGGCCCAGTTTTTTTTCTTTTTCTTGATTTTAATTTAGAGGAAATGACATCACCGATCTCTGGCGTTTGGTTTTAGTGCCTTTAGTTTGTTTCGTGTCCCATCCATTCAACCTTCCTCAGGATCCACTGATTTCCCTCTTTCCTAATCACTCCCTCTCTTTCTTTACATTTTTTTGATCATTTTAAATATATTTTTAACCATTTTATAAATTCTTTTTTATATTTTTACATGTTTTGTTTTTGTGAAGCGCCTCGTGATTTTTATCTTGAGAGGCGCTATAGAAACGATATTTTCTTCTTCTTCTTCATTATCGTTACTGTCAACAACAATCTATAGATTGTAGATTGAATAAATCAGAAACTTGGCAAAACGTAAAGGGTAAAAGAAACTATCATCCCCCTAGTGGCCGGTTGCAGTACATGCTTTAAGTCCCACCCCTTCTATGTAAATAAACAGAACATTTTTCCGACAAAAATATAAAACAGCAACTCAGATAATTTCCTCCAAGTTTGAACTCTTGTTGATTCCTGTTCTTCTAACTTTGCTGCTTTGTTCAGTTTTGTTTGAAGACTGTGTTCAGCCCTCAAACAGACTCGCCATTCAATGTAATGTATGTCGATGGCGTGGAGGTGAAAGAAGATATCAAAGTACCGGCATGGAAGTGGAAATGAGCTTTAGAAACGATATTATCTTGAAAATACAAAAGAGCAACAGTGTTCCCAGTAGTCACCCCTGTGGAACACCCTTGCGATTGTTCAGGATCATCGGACCGGAAACTATTTAAAATACTTTTGAATACCAGGGGAGAGTATTTTCTCTGCACGTCCTGAGTACACAGACTCTGGTTGTAAAAGTACAACATTACAGGTCGTGTAAATAGACTACACCTTTTAACAACCAGAGTAGACAGAGATCAGATCCTTGATTTGGTTTGCTGCTCGGCTCAGTGTCAAAGTCTGACTGTGTGTTTGCGTTTCTGTATTTGTATTACCGGTGAGTACACTGTGCCTTTGGTTCTGCCATCCACTTGTTATCACAGCTCTGATAAGACTGGAACTGACCTCTAGGACTGCTGATCGTCCCCAGATAAAGACGTTCACGCACTCTGTGCCCGTGGCGCGGTTTTCACTGGAATTATCGTGTCAGCTTTCTTGGACTCGTGTGAAAAGGAAAGACATTTAAGGAATGAGGATGTGGAAGGCGTCATGTAACACCGCTAATCTCTAATCTTTTACGTACGTTTTTCTTAGGCGTCACCAGAAAGAAAAGTGCAACAAAGACGAGATGACAATCGGTAGGAACTCCAGGAAAAGCTCGGTCCGAAGCTCCGTCCGAGCACCAAAGTTTCTGGACAAATCCAGCGGTTTCTACGGTCGCCTCGACGAGCCCGAGGCCACCGCTGAGGTCGTGGGGGGTGGAGTGGAGAATGACAGCAGCAGAGAAATGGGAGTGGACATCAGCCTGGCCCTAGATGTGGTCCACGACTCAGGGGCAGATGAAGAAGTGGATGTGTTCTCTGGTGGCATGATGGAGGATGATGGAGAGACTCTCCTGAGGAGGAAACCCAGCCGCCACAGCAGCAGGTGGAGAAAAAGCTCCAGGAGGAGGCAGAGGGAAGTCCAGGAGGAGAAACCCCAAGAGCAGAAGCCAAGTGTGGTGGACGCCCACATGCTGGAGGACAAGATCCAGGAACTGAAGCAGATGGAGGAAGACAACCAGAAGGGCGACATCACGAAGGACCCTGCTCTGGCGCACTTCCAAATTCAAGAATACGCTGAGGACCGGGTCCTGATCCGAGACAAGAAGAGAGGACGAGAAGAGGAGACGGAGGAGGAGAGGAAGAGCGAGAAGGAGCAGGAGGAAGGGATGAAGGTGGTGAAGAGGAACACCGTGAAGAGTTATCGAAAGGTGAGATGTTCAGATGCACATAAATCCCACTTTTACTCTCCCCGGTGAGGGTTAATCTGAGCAGGTGGAAGAGAGTGGGCAAAGTTCTGCCTCCACGGGTGATTAATCGCCACGGCAACTCACCACATCACCTTAATGACACACCACCAGCCGGGTCAAAGGGCAGCAGCCACCAGTACGTGTCACCAACACATTAATTGGGATTTTTCCGCTACGTCAGCAGTAATGACTAGTAAATATTAAGCTGGTTGAGTGTGAAGGGGACTGGGTGTACTTTCACCCGCTTCGTGTGTCACAAAGGTTTTCTGCTTCAGCTGACACACACACACACACATACACACACACACACTCACACACACACACACACATACACACACACACACACACACACACACACACACGCACGCACGCACGCACGCACGCACACACACACACACACACATACACACACACACACACACACACACACACACACACACACACATACACACACACACACTCACACACACACACACACACACACACACACACACACACATACACACACACACACACACACACACACACACACACACACACGCACGCACGCACGCACGCACGCACGCACGCACACACACACACACACACACACACACACACACACACACACACACATACACACACACACACACACACACACACACACACACACACACACACACACACACACACACACACATACACACACACACACACACACACACACACACACACACACACACACACACACACATACACACACACATACACACACACACACACACACACACACACACATACACACACACACACTCACACACACACACACACACACACATACACACACACACACACACACACACACACACACACACACACACACATACACACACACACACACACACACACACACACACACACACACACACACACACACACACACACACACACACGCACGCACACAGAGGTGACATTCCTCTGGCTCCTATATCATGTCTCTGATCAGTGGAATGAAACAGGGCAGCGCAGACCCTCCTACTAAACCGACTGCATGAAAACATTCCTCTGTTGTTAACCAGCTCTGCTCTGAGGCCTCACAGCCCGCTGGTTGGCTACGCTGAAGTTAACACACCACCGGTGGTTATTCTACCACTGGAATAAAAACCTCCGGTGGTGTCAAGTCCCAACTACCAACCTGGACAGACTGCAGACTTCATAAAAGTCTGTTAAAGTTTTAAAGTTGTGGAAAACTGAAAAACCTTTTTTTTAACGAGTATTTCTGATTATAATCAGTCGCTCTGGGCTTTGTATGCCGGCTGAACATGAACAAGTCTCCTCCATCTAGCTCCTGCATTAGCTTCTGATAGAAAACAGACGGTGAAACTCTAGGATTAGAAAATCCTGACGGTGTGACATCACACTGTCACTTAACATTCATGGACTCACCCATTTTGATTTACGACGGGGAAGCTGCTGTTGGTTTAGCGTCCAGGAAACAGCAGCTAACTGTTAGCTTTAGCAACTTAACCACACAGCAGAACTCCTCCAGGCTTGTGTTATTTGTAGAGAGAAAACATCCATGTCACAGAGCAGAGTCAGTGGTAGAGTCGTGTTGCTGTTATCCAATCAGAGGCGAGATGTCCAAATATCAGGAAGTAATCCTGCCGTGTGAGGCTACATTCTCCTCTAGATGGCTTCCTGAAACAGGAACATGTGAGCTCCCCTGCACATGTATTGATTACATGTGTGAACCACACCTTTAATTATTTCTTTTGCACCTTTTTCATTCATTTTTAATCTGAGAGCAGCCATGTTTGATTTTTAGATGTTTTAAAGCTTCTAAATTGGCGGCGTCAGCACATTATAGATTATCAAATCAAATCAAAGATACTTTATTAATCCCAGAGGGAAATTAGAGTTTCAGTACGCACAATTCAGAGATCAGACATACATGGGCAAGACACATGACAAGAATTGGTGACTGTGGTCATTCGCAACCCTGAGTCGCGCTACCTTAATAGTGATCAGAGGGTTACATGAGGATTGGTTCAGGTGGAGGGAAAAAAGGCACTTCAGAGTTGCCCTCCCACCAGGAGGGCAGCTTTGCTCTGCAAAAAGAAACCTCAGACAGACATGCAACAGACTTCAGACATAACACAACACAAGTGTCCACTAGGTGGGGTGGTGGGTTGGGACTATCCCCACTTCAGTTCCTGCAGCCATGATAAGCAGCACATGTCACCTCATTGTGGATAAGGGGAGCAGCATTGAGGGTTGGAGGGTTGCAGTGACCCTGGACGCTTCAGCGGCCTTCCCGCAGTCCCGCCCAGGCTGGGATAGGAGACAGAGTTGAGTTGCCATAACAACGGCACATTCCACATATCTTCTGAGGGGGGAGTTTTCGTTGGAGCCTTGCAGGCTCAAGGACGCCAGATTCCAATTAGAAATTGTTTTGGGGCCAGACAGAGATAATTTCCTCTCTGTCTTACAGTTTGTTGGTCCTCAACTTCTCAAAATCCCAATAATGGACATTAATCTATCCCAATCTGTGCTGATTCGTCCACTCTCTCCTTGATGGCATCCATCTTTTGTGCCAAAGAATGAATCTCCGCCAAAGTCCCAAGCTTACGATTCATCTAGACAATTATTTGAGTCTGTGAATTCACAGCGCGGTGCAAACCATCTCTGAGCTCCGGGATCAGGCCAATATTCCTCGACAGCTCGTTCATTTGCCGGTAAGCCAGGTAGCCTCCAAGGCCAATGAGCAGGAAACCCGACACCAACACCACGAATGTCCACACGTCTTCAGAGTCCTCCACAGACAGCTGAGATAGACAAATCAAGTTCAAGTTAATAATGATCCATCTTTCATTTCATCTTTTAATCAAACTAAAGCTTCTCTGTTGCTGATATTTACTTCAAAACCTGCAGTCTTACATGAACATCGTTTTAGTTTTCACAACCCAACCGTTACAGGACAGGCACCATTTTCCTGAGTTAGAATCAGACCACACGACGATAATACATTTTATTTCCGGGGACTTTCTCTGGAAACACCACGTAACCCTGCACCTCCTCCAGGAACAAAGCTCAGCTCCTCACAGGGAAACGCGTGGTTTCCCGTCGACTCCAGCTGAGGCCAGATGCATCCAGAGGCGCCTCCTCATGTGCACTAACCGTCCTCCTCTTCCTCCCCAGGCATTTGACCGAGCTCTTCGACGCGGCTGGGAGGCCTTTATCGCCAACCTCTACAGCGTGACCCTGACACCAGTGACGCCCTCGCCGCCGTCCTCCTCTCCTTCCCTGAAGAAGCAGCATCAGCACAGCTCGGTGCTGGCCGAGTTCCGGTAAAGACGGACGAGGGCCCGGGCCGTTTGGACAGCTCAGGGTTAAAGCAGCTGCTGATTACTCACGATGCCTTCACCTGATGTGTGTGACAGAGTGAATGTTTATGACCTGATCACTGACATGTGTGTTCTGTGTGTTGCACAAAGACTGCAGGCACAAACTGGGGCAGTCCAGCTGTGGATTTGAAGTCTGTTATTCCAGACTGAGTTCAGCTGCTCCTCTTTGATTTTCATTTCTTCAGAAGCTTTCTTACATCTGATCCACGTTCACGAGCGAGCTGTGCCACCATCTCTGTGATATGAGTGCTTCTCAAGGACATGAAACACCAGAGAACCGTAGAAGAAGCAGCCATGACTGATCAGTGGATTTTTGTTTGGCATGTCCGTGCCATTTAAGGCTGTGTGGCAGCCTGAAGTACGTATGTTGTTGTGGATAATTACTTAATTTATTCGTTTAAACCTCTATAAACCATTCTTCATGCCTCTGCACATTTGCATGCTATCTGGTTCAGCTCCAAGGTGTTGTAGTGACGGTTGTTTAACCTGAAGACACCAGTGGAGACAAAAGAGAATGTGACACACTAGCATGACCAACCCTTTATGGTTGCTTATATTTATTGGAAATGATAAAGTTTATCATGTCATACAAGCTCTGTTAAGTTAAGATGATATTTTTTTGCAATAAAGCTGTAATTTCCTCTCATCTATGATCTTTTTTATTCATCACTGATAAACACACTCTCTATAGAGACCAGAAAACACACCAGAAGTCGTTCTAGTCAGAGTGTAGGACGCAGTCGTCTGACTAACACCGTATGAAGCACTGGAGAGTTTTCCAGCATTATTAAGGTCAAAGGTCATCCTCCAGCATCATATGCTAGAAAGCAGAATTCATGGTTCCATCAATGACAGCAGGTGGCTCTGAAGCAGCAGAGCAGCCCAGACCATCACACTGCCACCACCACCATGGAACGGAACGGGGCGGGACACGCACCTTCTAGATAGTTCCACTTTTATCTCATCAGTTCATGGAATGTTTTACAGAGGTCTTCATGATAGTGAACCTTCTGGGCCACCGTAGATAAAACGCAGAAAACACACAAACTATGCTGTCCAAACCGTGGATTTAAATTACCCAATAACTCTAATCCTTTTACTCAGCAGCAGTGATTTGGTTGTAGTGTGAGACTGCAGATGTTGTACACCACATTAAAGTGGTACATTGTTTTATTTAACTTTACTAGTATGTGTGGTCAATGAATGCAGTTTTCCAAAGGGGTTTCGTTGGATTACCATGATGACCTGGAGGACTGAGAATCTTCACCAGCACATTGTCCCACATTCTGTTTAGTCCGTTTTGTTGTTCATTAATTTCACAAACATACAAATTAACAATGTTTAGGAATGCTTTAATTTTATTTTCATGATAGTAGCTGTTTTCATTTTTACGTTTTCTTTGTGATTTCAAAGCTTCAGACAAGTTTTCTTTTCTGTGTTTTTGCTGTCATCTTGTGGCAAAAGTTGATGATTACTTCAAACGGAAGTGACGTAACTAAACTTCATATAATTCATTTTGAAAATGTTGTTCTGCCTTTATATTTATATATTTGGATAAAGGGTCAATATTTTCATTACACTGGTGTATATAGTCAGTTTAAAATGTAATTTAAAGCTAACAGTACGTAAAACGATAAACTCGCTGTTTCCGGTCTACGTTAGAAGGTGGGAGGAGTCTATTACTAGACTATAAATACTGAAGGCGCCGGGTTTTCTTTCTATTTCCTCCTGTTGCTGGCGTCAGGTAAGTGTGGCAACAACTCCTTTGAGTCGTGTTAGAACACAACTGTTAAATATTTTTTACTGTAGAATGTACAAGAAAGTAGTAGCATTGCAGTAGACCTGCTGCGTAGTGTTTCCTGTGACCTGGTGTTTAGCCGAACTTAGCTAACCCAGTCGTTTCTGTGCAGGATAGCGCAGACCTCAGCAATCCTGAGCCATCCTTTAGTAAATCTACTAATTTCCATCAAAATATTACCCTATCCAGAAACAATAATGTGTAATATAAGTCATAGCGGTGACATTAAAGCTTTCCATCCACGGAAATGGGATATTTTACTAGTATGTTAAAAGATGGCCGCTGCCAGATTTGACTTGGGCGCCGTGGGGTGCTAGCTTCGTCTCTCAATGATGATACTTTTCACAGACCTGTCCTGAGTGACTGTGATTGTACCTAATTATTCTGATGTGAGACGATGAAAAACATTTAATTTGAGCGTTCTCATTCTGCCCCGAGCACGTTGCACATATCAGTCACGTGGTGGCTAAAGGTAAAACTATGCTAACAGCAGCTAATAGACGTTGTCTTGTTTCTTCCCAGATGCTGGAAGTTATGAGAGTCACTTATCTGCAAAAGGTAACTAATGCATTATGAAATCGTAATTAAACACGGTTTATGGGTGCTACAGTGATGCTCTAATTGAACTCTCTCACTGAATAAATTTTGAAGATTTCTTAAATAAATTTTCTGAGTAGCATGAAAAAAGCAATAATTTATTTATTATTTACCTTTTTTAGGCTAAAGCTCTTGCTTGCTGTTTTTGCAGGTGAAAAGGCCGCCACCCCCCCACCCCCCTATAAAGGTAACTACTAGATCAGTCCAGTGGCTTTGCAGCGCCTCCCAGGAGTTGTCCTGCTGGTGTGCTGCAGTGATGAGTCCATGAACTCTCTCTTACTGAATCAGCCTTTGAAGAAACTCCTTTACCAGATTCTGAGTAGCAGATTTGCCCCAGCATTCCTCCACGGATCCACCAGAAAGGATCTTCGGTTTAAATTTAATCTGAACTTGTCTGTCTAATCCCACAGATGCATCTCACCCTTTCACTGAGGATGAAACTTGGTGAACTGCAGGTAAGAGACAATCAAATGTCTGACTTCTGTGTTGACGGTTCATTTATCTGACCAGCCTTAGTTTGAGATTAAAGCTCATAATTTCTTTGCTGTAAGGCTAACATGATGCTTATGTCTGCAGGATGACCTCCACTTCCTGTCCATGCAGTTTAAACGATAACTGCTGAAGCACAGGTGTGTTTAATATAATACTATAGATGTTATTCAGCTGTGGGTGTAAATGTGATGATTACCTTTTAACGACAAGCATATGCCTGATTCCAGTGATGACAGCCTATAATCTGACTTATTACCCAGTTTTTAAATATGATGATGATGACGTCTGCATGAGTATTATTGACCTGCAGGTGTTCCTCCACAGGTGGAAGCTGTGCATGAGCGTTCAGCTGGGAGAGTTGCCTCCCGATCCAGTGAGTGAGAATTAAATTCATGTGATAAATAAAGTGAGTTTGAGAGGATGACATGGGTTAGCACCCATCAAACTCCTGGACGACTGATGTCTCATGGCAGTTTGTCACCAAAGCCCTGATCAGTCAGACCAATCCGTGTGTGCACAAATGTTTTGTTTTGTTGTATAAAGATTTTTTTTTTCTCCTCCCATAGTTTCTGCCTACAGACCTAAGATGTGCTCTCTGGAGTCTCGGGGTAAATATCTCGTCATCCTTCAGTGCCTTTATTGCAGTTCCAGTGATGATAAAACTCAGCTCACTTTGACCCGGTGTGAAACATCGATGTGAAACCATCATCCTTGACATCTGAGCAGCTGCAGCAACTCGCTCTAACTTAACTGTTTTACTGTAGAGCGGGAAGTTTTGGGTCTAGGTGATCTATAAACAAGCTTGTCTTGTTTTCTAGGTGCTCCTGAAGCGTGGAGATGGTTAACTTTTTAAGGTGAGAAGCTCTAAAGATGAACTGCAGCTTTGTTCCTGCTGAAAGTGATGAGATGCATCTGGAATCTCGTTCGTCTGAACAGCTGTTGAGAAATAATCGATCTGACATCAGTGATCTTTGTTAGTTTACACGCAGCAGCCTTGTTGTTCTAGAGTGTAATATGAAGTGTTTTCTGTGTTTTACAGGTTTCTAACGGGTCTTTGGGTTGAGATCTTCTCCGTTTCTGGGTATCAAGGTGAGATACAAACATTACATGGACCAGAGTTCCTACACTCGTGTTTGTGGTGTTGAAGGTAAACATCGTTTCTCATGATGACACCTGCACACGTCCGACGCCTTGGGTCAATGCCAGAACCTGAAAAGGTGAACCCACTGGTGTTGCCATGGTAACAAGGGGACAGCTTGTTGGGGTTACCAACAGTCTGAATAGAAACGTGAACATGGACTTGTGTTCGCTCGTCATGGGTGCTTCTTTAACCCACTTCCTGTTTGTCCTGTAGCGAGGACGCACGCGGGCTAGAAGGCGATCAAAGATGCCGGCGAGGTTGGTACCAGTCCGTTACTCAGCTGGTTAATGAGGAGAGATGATGACTTCTGTTACCGCCCCAGTCTGAGAAGTCATGACTGATCGGTATTTCTTCTGATAGACTGATGGTTGCAGAGACCTTTTTATTAAGATCCATCAAAACGGGTCACTGATCCTTTTCTCTGTAGGTTTCCTGGTGATGGGAGGTCCGTTTGACTCCTGAAACCTGAACTGCTGCAGGTAAGGGTTAAGGTGAAGGTAGAAGATGCTGGGATTGTGGAAATGATGACCCCCCCTCCATCCAGTCGAGGGAAATGGCTATATAGTACCGTTCTCGGCCAGCACCCCCTCTTGTTGACCCAGTATGGCACTGAAAACCCTACCCCTGTAGGTGTAAGGTGACCTGCTGGGTTCTGATGGTGTGGCGGTCTGGTTGAGTTCAATTGACTGAAAGCCAGGTTCTGATCACATCCCGGATGTCAAACTTTATGATGTTTAAATGGATCTAAGCAGCCAAATGCTTCATGATCATGAACATCTGGTCTTCTCTTTAGGCTCAGCAGCTGTGATGTGGTCAGATACCCAGAATGCTTTTGGTAAGTTTCATGTCTCCGTTAAACTTAACATGATCTAAATAGACGTGATGAGCAGGTGTTACCGCCCCAGTCTGATGTTTGGTGACTGATTGGTATCTTCTGATCTAGTGATTTAACATTTCCCAGATCTGAGATGTTCTTCTCATCCTAACTAGTCTCCTCCTCCTCCAGGCTCAGCGGATGCAGAAGTACTCCTGATCTCCTACAAACGTTTGCTGTTGGGTTGTGGTCTTGTTCTAGATTAAGCATTCCCTGAATGTGTTTTACCTTGTTTTCTACATTAAGGTTTACTTTATTTGCTCCATTTGGATTGATTTTATTTATCGTGGTTAACATTTCTGGTGCACCTAATTAAGCGCCTTGGGCTTCCTGACAGGAAGACGCTTTATAAATACAGCTTTGAGGTTTTTCACATTTTCCTGATTTTTAAATAAACTTAAAAAAAAAACATGGAGAATAGTCTGCTTTCCTATTTTTGTCCATTAGGTGTCAGTAGAGCTCAAACAACTCAAGCTAAAAATGCTGACTAATGTCAGCTTCTATGTACTTAAGTAGTTTGTTGCCAGGTGTGCACATCCTCAGGTGTGCATGCGCTGTCAGAATAAATAATGCGTACGGGGGGGGGGGGGGGATGCTTCAGCACACATTTGTGCACCTAAGACTGGAAGAAGAAACATTTCTGGAGCATATTAAAGATGTCCAAGAAGCAAGCTCCATTAATTATTTTGGTGTTCCTCCGCCTCCAAAAAAAACTTCCGACTGAGTCGGAGCCGCAAAAAAATATTTGTGGAAGTGGCTGCAGGAGGTCAGCTGGCTTAAAACTTAACAGATTCGGTGCAGATTATGCCGTGAAAATCTCACCCTGGCGGACCAGCGGCGCCTTTTACATAGGCACTAAAAACTTAAACCATCCAGCGTTTGATAAACATGCGAACAGCAGAGAACATCAGAAAGTTGTTCAGGAAGTCAATGAAGCCGGACGCAGCCAGGCCCATGATGAGGACGATGAGTAGAAATAAAGACGGCGTTTATGCCATTTAAAAAAACTTCTGTGCTCTGAAATGGTAATTAAGGGCTTTAAATTTTTATTTGATTTTATCACATAAGCAGCGATTTACACATTGTGTTTTACATTCAGAAAATTCAGTCATGTTATTTGAAAATTAGGTTTTAAGTTAAGCTGGCAATATGTACCTTTTCAGTCAAAATTAAAATGTTGCATCAACGCGTTTCTGTTTTGTTCCTATTGTGAGTTAAGAATTAAGTGCATTAAAAGTGAAGACCAAGCAGCAACCACAGGTTCTCCTGAGTACCAACACAAATATGATGGGCACCCGTTTGTAGCAACGAAGCTGAACAACTTCCTGAAAACTCAACTGGTTCTAGCTCCCAGGTCTAGCATCCCAAGGCAATTTCAGAAAGGCTAGTTTCATGACTTGTGGAATTTTAATACACTACAAATAAACCAGTCAAACCTAGATATCAAGTTTAATAAAATAAATCATGAAGCACAAATCAGCTGAAAAAAAAAAACAGGTTTTTACAGAAGTTTGGTTACCGCCGACCCTTAATCAGCAGTGAAGATCCTCGCTGCGATATCATCCGTTAACCAGTCCACTCCTGCTAACAAGTTGTCCCCCGTCACAGCGCTGCAGCCAATAATACACCAGTGGTGACTCTTGATGTCGTCCAGTGCCAGCGCCTGTAGAAGAACATCTCATGAGATTGTTGTGCTTTCTAATTATGAACACGTGAGAGTTGGGCTTACCTCTCTAATAGCTTCTTTAGACAATGCTCCTGGTAAGTCCTGCTTGTTGGCAAACACCAGCAGCGTAGCACCAGCTAACCTCTGCAGAGTCAACAACCACGCAGGATGTAAACAAAGACTCCAGCTCTAAACTGGAAAAAAGAGCATCATTTTGTGGAGGCACTTCTCGCTTTTGTCCGCATTTCACACTACTGTAGGTCTACACAATGTAGTTTCTGCAAGTATCTGAAGCACCTGTTCCTGATTTAATGGTTAGAATACCTCAATGCTTCAAGTTCTTTATGTAAAAGCAGCCACCAAGGACCAGGATCACTTATCTGCCTCTAAGGATCTTTGATTTTATGTCTTTATCACTGTTTCTCTGCAACAACGAGTCACCAATGTCACTTTTAACCAGAAAAATGGCCTGAATCTGTAGTAGTGGATGCAGTTTGACCTCCTCCAGCAGCAGAGCACTGAGCTCCTGCCTGCAGTCGCCCAGTCGGAGTCGATCAGCGCTGTCCACCACCCACACCAGCCCGTCGGTGCTCTCGAAGTAGTTCCTCCAGTAGGAGCGTAGAGACTTCTGACCACCTACGTCCCAGATGTTCAACTTAAACCTAAAAAACACAAAGTGCAACAAACCGTTTGTTTCCTGGATTGGAATAACTTAGCGTGGAATGGTCACGCGGAAGCAGCAGATGATGCATTAATTCGTTCCTTTTGTGTTGCGTGCGCGCGAGACCTGCGCAGCGCTGAACTTACCCCCTGTGCTCCAGAGTTTTGATGTTAAAGCCCAGTGTAGGCGAGATGGTGCTGACATCTTCTCCGTTAAACTTCTTCAGGATGGTGGTCTTCCCTGCGTTGTCCAGACCTCTGCACGCGACAGGTCAAAGAAAACACAACACACCTGACCACAACAAACCTAGCATAGCACACACAACGGGACTTGAGAGGTTAAATTAGGGCAAATAAAAGCGTTACGGAGCCAAGCGGCTGTTCCTTGTCTCGGTTATAAAGCGACACACTGGTACAAGAGACTTTTGTTGCTATTATTCAACGCAGATGAAGTTTTATTCTGAGATGCTAACCTTGTTTCTAGCTAGGCTAATCCGTTATAAAAAATAAAAGATACAACATGAGCAGCCGCATCTCGCGCTCCTTCTGCTTCATCTTCTTCAAAATCGTCAGCAAACCCATAACGATGCTTGTAGGTTCAAACAAAAATATATTAATATTAGTAATAAGTTAAAGGCTACAGCTCTGAGAGGTTAGCTTTCACAAAGATGAGCCATGATGCGACAGATTGCTTGTCCCACCCCCTCGCTACTGATGGTTTGATTTGATGGATTTTGATTGGTTGTTGGAGATTCTCAAAGCTGTATGATTGGCCAATTTGTGTTTTAGCGTGTGGTTTAACTTTTTAATACAAAATTTATCTTTATTACAAAGTCAAAAGTGCACTTAATTAGTTCTAAATTAAAATTCACAAGCCTGTAAAACTACATACATATATGTCTATGTATAAAACACGTTCATAAGACAAATTAAATATGTTTTTCGTTCATAGCCGACGCCATATTGGACAGGAGAAGTACAAATTTTCAACAACATTTCAGAATCATCACAGATAATTATCCAGCAGTAAAAACATGCATACAACGGAAATGAAATACTTAAAATATTCTACACAGCAGAAAAAAGTAGACCATATTTTTACAAGTAAAACGAGTATTTGGTCCATCAAATTCAGAATAACATGAATTTGTTTACTGTTTACTCTCATGCCACACCCCCAATTGCTCATGCTTTTACCAAAAAAAAAAGTATCTGGAAATCTTATTGAAGTGATTGACAAATACACCCATGTGTAAGTCTGCTGACTTCTCGCATTACTGCAGGTCACAAACGCACAGGCTGGAAAATAGAAGCTGTTCTCTTTAATGTGAACAGGTGGTTCATGTATTGGTGACTGGCTGCAACCGGCCCTCTCTGCACGACCTGTTCACCTGCAGAAGCATAAAGCAGGAACAAAAGATTGTGGCTGACCCATCTCACCCTGGACTCGTGCTGTTGGAGCTTCTCTGGGAGCTGGCTGTTTGTCCATTAGAGCAAAAGCCACGCCGCACAAACATCATTTAGATCTCCAGCTGGGCTGCTGAATGAGCCAGAGCAGCAACTTCATCCCCTAACAAGGACAACAACAAAGTGTACTGCACTATGAAAATGATTTACTTGAACTTTGACACACATTCATCTTTGTCATACCAGATGTTCATACGCTTTGTGTGTGTGTGTGTGTGTGTGTGTGTGTGTGTGTGTGTGTGTGTGTTTTCCTATAAGTGTTGACTGATTGGCTCCTGCACCAAAACTAGATCCTCCTGAGCTGCCTGGGCATTAAACCTCACAGTGATTCTGATTATTGAAAGGCTGATTCAGCCTGTTTATCATCGTATAGCATCTCAGATCAGCTGATCCTCCACCAGTAAACAGAGGTGTGGACTCGAGTCACATGACTTGGACTTGAGTAAGACTCGAGTCATTATTTTAATAACTTCCGACTTGACTTGATAAAATCTATAAAGACTTACAACTTGACTTGGACTTGAATGCCAATGACTTGCGACTTGAATCGACTTGCATCTGTTGACGTGATGATGACTTGAACATATTTGATATTTTAGCACAAAAGTGACACGACATGGACAAAAATCATGAATCGTTCTTGGTTCTGGGTTTGATTTACTGCTGAATGCAGCAGCTCTTTGTTTATAATCAACTTCACTTTCTGCTTGTTTGAGCAAATAAATGAAACTTTAAGAAGCTTTAATTCTGGAATTTATTTATTATCATCATCATTAAATTCAAGTTGGACAGATGACTTGATTATGACTTGAAAAATCAAAGTTAAGGACTTGGACTTCCACATCAGTGACTTTGGACTCATCTTGGTTGCAGTGGCGGCGCCAGGGGGCGCTAGGGGGCGCTATAGCTACCCCTGGATTAGTCATGGCACCCCAAAGTAAATATTAGATTTTTTTTTCACACTTTAATTTTAATGTAACGTGTGGATGTGGTAATATTTAACATACAAAACAAAAATAATCAGTAAATTATCATATAAATAGTAAAAACTTTAACCAAAACAGGAAATTGATGTTAACCTTTGACCTCATTTTCCACCTGCAAACCATCGACATATAGGCCGTGTTCGAATTGAGCTGCACCTCGCCTGGAAAACAGACGAGAGCAGACGGAAGCAGCAGGGGGAGTGGCTGAAAGCCGGCGTTTAAGTCGGACAGATTTCCCTACATGTGTAGCTCGCGGGTGACGATGGCTGAAGATATCGCGTCAGCGTTCATACTTGTTTAATTTTCAATTTTAATTCTGGTGCCTGTTAGCAGCTGAAACACATCCTCACGTGCTTGTGGATATCATATATTGTATATGAAGACATGACTGTAATAATAAGTAAAGGTTATCAGCTGCAGCTTCAGTGTGCTCATAGGAAACGTGACAAAAGAAAACAAATCACATTTCTCTTTATGGCCTATATAGTTAACATCATCAACGTAACATGATTTACAGAATACATGTGACCAACTAACATTTCGTGTTCTACCACCGGATGTTTGGATCAAAATATGAACCAATCAGATCTTAGATCAGGTGAGAGCCAGGCGTTTCCCGTCATCCTCTAGGTTTAGCAGCCGAGGGAGAGCAACTGCAGCGCCTTGCTCCAAAATCTGTGGCCGCCTTGATCTCACAAGGTTATCGTTGCCTACGTGTGCATGACGTCAGAGCAGGTCGGCGTCAGGTCGGACACAAATCTAACCGGCATGCACTGCTCGCCGATCACCGCTGATCCAATCTGCGCAGAACTGGCTCATCTCGAACACAGCCATACATATATTTGATGGTTTTTCAGTGTCTTTTCAGGAGACACAGAAAGTCGTTCTGGAGTCGCTCAAAGTTTCAACAAGTTTGAAAACTTTCTGAACAGCAGGAAAAGTGAGGTGTTGGTAACCAGTGGAGCTTACTTGGTAATAAGTAGACATTGCAAGCTTGAATGAGTGATTTAATAAAACGAGGACAAGGTGCAAAGATTTTACACTCTCATTAAGCTGCATTTATCTAAACTGTAAAAAATAAAAAACACATGACATACATGACTTGATATTCTTGTTCTTTTAACATGCGTATCACAGATGCCAATTATTTGAATGTAAATGAAATTTTGCATAATTTATGCATCTCTACCACTCATTGCCAGCAGATCTCAGCAGCAATAAACCTGACAGCAAAGTGTTGATATAAAAAATAGCTTCATCATTTTTTTCTTTTACTTATGCTAACACAACATGTGATGAATATTATATCAGCGTTTTATCATCACCAAATTTAGAGAGCCATGTCAGGACTAAAGAAGACATGTCTTCTTATAAATAAAGCTTTGATTTGATTTGATTCATTTGTCAGTGTCAAAAAAGGCCAAGGTAGTGTATTTTGTGTGTTTGAAGCAGTGGCGGCGCTAGGGGGCGCTATAGCTACCCCTGGATTAGTCATTGCACCCCCAAGTAAATATTAGATGTTTTTTTTTACAATTTAACTTTAATTTAACGTGTGGATTTGATAATATTTAACATACAAACGAAAATAATCAGTAATTATCATATAGATCGTAAAAACTTAAACCAAAACAGGAAATTGATGTTAACCTTTGACCTCATTTTCCACCTGAGAACAGTGAAAGGTAGAGCTAGCGGTAAAATGGATCGGTGTTTGTTGCCCACATTTCCACGGGTTCAGTCAGAAACGAATGAATGTTTGGAAGTGATCTCAGACCCACAAACACCTACGGATCTGGATGAAGAGAGTCAACCCTCAACCGCCGCAGCAGTCCAGGGTTTAGCCGCTGGAAATGCTGACGCTAACGTTAGCTAACCTTGCTACACTATAGATGGTTTTCTGTGTGGCTGTGTGTGTTTATGATTTCATGGAAAAGTCAGCGATTGTTCATATGTTTATGATGTATATTAATGATTGTTTCAGGTGTTTTTGAGGTGTTGTGCACGCATGTGTGTCTGCTAGTGTTGAAGGTGTTTTAGAGAACAATAGGTACGCTCCTGCAAGACAGGAGCCACCACTGCTTGGTTGTCTTTGACTTGTGACTTGAAAAGCAGTGACTTGGGCACACCTCTGCTTGTAAAGACACAGAACCTGAGCTCTATGTCCCTATGAATCCCATCCAGGCTCGAAAGGGCCTTTCTTTAAGCGGGATGACGAGAGGGATTCCGAGGTGACCCACATGGGCTCACCTTCACCAGGAAACCAGCTGGCTGCTTTCTGAAGGGCTCTGCTGTTCGTTTCCCGGCAAAAGACTCCAGAAACCCCCCCTGCACGTGGAGGAAAATCGAGCCCTCTCATGCCCTAATATGGACCTGTTCCTGTCTTTCACCGTGTTGCCTTCAGGTGCATTAAGAGCGTCTGGGATTTAGAGCTGCTCAAACACGTTATCACCTAAAAACCGAGGAGGAAGTAAGCGTTAGCCTAATCAGCTGTTACCAGTCTTTGGAGGTTTCCCGTGTGACGTCACGCTCCCAGAACGGAGTGCCTTCTGCACGGTCGGCGAAACGTACATGCCACACGCGAACGCACCACGAGGGCCTTGGTTCTTTAGTTGAACGAGATCGTTTAAAATAAACCGAAACCGAAAGAAGACCCACAGCCTGAATCATGTTGCGTCACCATCAGACTAAAACCAGCTGAGGGCCCGGAGGAGCGGCTCAGTACACGCTGCTCTCCCAGCATCACCGAGCCTGGTCCTGGGCAGGAGGAGCTCTGCGGACCCGCTCCGGAGGGTGGATAATCAGCTCTGCACGCATGATCCGAGACCCATCCTGCAGGAGGGCAAGCGTCTCAGGGCCAGGAGGGGACTAGAGATGCCCCTGCTGTTCATGGACACCGGGTACGAGCCCAGCAGCCCCGGTGGCTCCTTGTCAGCAGAGGAGTGCAGCAGACCGGTCAGTCCTCCTCACATCCACCCCTCAGGAGCATCTGTTATTACTGGTGTCGTTGAATTGTGTAGAAAAAGAGTGTTGTACTATCAAATCATTCATTATTATTATTATTATTATTATTATTATTATTATTATTATAGGAAATTTTCAATGTCATTTCAGTAAATATTTTTTTTTTAGAACTAAACTTTTTACCAATCACTCAAATGTCCAGTCAGGTGGGAAATATGCATATTGACACAAATTACTATTAATATTATTTTGTCTAATGCAAAAATCAAACAGTGATAGTAGGATTCTGTCGCTAACGAGTCTGATTTTAGTATTTTTGCGGTGGATTCTGATATTTGCACTCGACCTGAAACCCGTCAACACCTCACTAATCATGCATATCGTATTCTGACGCTCTGAGGTGTCACTTTCACTTCAAACTGTGAATATTTACTGCGTGTCATATCTTCATAGCTTTATCTATGTGACAGTTGGACTTTATTGAGCTTAAACCTCAATAGTCAAGGAAACAGGTTATAAACGAGTGTGAGGGAGCAGTGAAGGCAAATATTTGATCTCAAACTTAGAACACACGCTCTCTCCTAAGGTAGGAGTTCTAAGTGGAGATGATATGTTTTTATTTAAGGGAGAACGATTTGTGTTTCATGCCTGTTTGATACTGATTTATTGGCATTGTTGAAATGTATACATATGTTGGGACATTTTCTTTGTTTCCCATTAAGAACTCAGAAGTTGGGATTAATTTCACATGCAGAGAAAAATCAGGTGACATGTCGCTCACGAGGACCCACCGGATGGTTCCGCTCCCATAAATCACCAACAGCTGCCACAAACTACACATTTATTTTATTCCACTCATTAGTCATTAAGATGTCATTAAAAGCATTTAGAATCAGTTTTGTCTGACTTTAATATCTATCAGAGCAAAACAGTCATTCATCATTTTTAGTAACATTTAGAGAATTTCAAAAAATTATTAAAATTCCAAAGTTTTTCCAAACATGAAGAAAGGAAGCGGAGTTTCTTTATCTTCAGTGAAAAATGGAAACCCCCCCCCCCCTGGATAATTCCCAAAATCTTTCAACACACACACACGCATACACACGCGCATCCACGCACTCGCATACACACACACACACACACACACACACACACACATACACACGCACACACACACACACACACACACACACACACACACACACACACACACACACACACACACACACGCACACACACACACACACACACGCGCATCCACGCACTCGCATACACACACACACACACATACACACGCGCATCCACGCACATACACACACACACACACACGCATACACACGCGCATCCACGCACTCGCATACACACACGCGCACACACACATACACATACACACACACACACACACACACACACACACACGCACGCACACACGCACACACACACACACACACACGCACGCACACACGCACGCACACACACACACACACACACACACACACACACACACACACACACACACATACACACACACACACACACGCACACACACACACACACATACACACACGCATCCACGCACACACACACACACACACACACACACACACACACACACACACACACACACATACACACACGCATACACACGCGCATCCATGCACTCGCATACACACACGCGCACACACACACGCACACACACGCGCACACACGCACTCGCATACACACACACACGCGCACACACACACACACACACACACACATACACACGCACATACACACGTGCATCCACGCACACGCATACACACACACACACATATGCACATGCGCGCATCCACGCACACGCATACACACACACATACGCGCGTCCACACACACACACACACATACGCACACACGCTCATCCACGCACACACATACACACACACACACACGTGCGCATCCATGCGCGCATCCACGCACACGCACACACACACACACACACACACACACACACACACACACACACACACACACACACACACACACACACACACACACACGTAGGAACTGCTGTTCTCCATGTTTGTGATGGAAATCAGAAGCACGTAGAGCCGAGATGTGTCGGAACCTTCCTGCTAGTACTCGGCGTGTAACGTAGAGCAGACTAACGTCTGGTTTGTCCCTGCAGGACAGGGACGGAGATGGACGACCCCGAGGGACAAAAAGACGACAGAAGAACAGAGACGCGGCGAGGAAGAGCCGCAGGAAACAAACCGAGAGGGCCGATGAACTCCATGAGGTCCTTTTTAAAATAATACATTTCCTTCCTGCTTCCTTCTTTCATCCTGTTAGTTTCTGTTTTCCTCTTGGTCACACACCGACTTGTGTGTCATCTGGAGTGTGTGTCTTGTGCAATCTAGCAGCAGACTAGCAGTTGTTTCTTGTAAATACCCTGGTTTAGGAGAAGGACTTTCTCTCTGGCTAGTCCTCCCCCCGGCCCGCCTCCTTGTGTTTCCTTCTCGCGCACACACACACACACACACACACACACACACACACACACACACACACACCAACACACACACACTTTCCTTTCTCCATACCCGTCTGTTCCTTTCTCCCTGAGGGGTAAATTCCACAGGTTCGAGACACACCGACCCGTCGCTTAAGTTTGAACAATCCTGAATAATTAGGTCCCACTTTTATCTCCCGTTTGGAGTATTTCTATAAAATATCCACTCCGTGAGTAATACCTGGTACCGCTCACGTAAGCTAACACTGAGTCAGAGTGGCATCAGGTGAAGTACACAGTGTCCCGACTCAACAACCCGACGTAAATCACTCACTTCTTGTTTCGTTTGCATTTTCAACGTGTTAAACTTTTACCAACACACACCAGTAAATAAACAGAAAAACCTCCAGTCCGTCTGAAATCATGAAATCTTCCACTCAGCACACACGCTGCTCCAGTCCGTGCAAAAATCGCAGATGATTACGGTTTAAAGGGAGCAAATGCATCATTCCCAAGCTGCAGCCACATAAGTGTCTGACATCACCAGCAGCTGAGAAATCCTCAAATAAAACAAAAGTTTTAGAATATCTCCTTCAGAGAGTCGCTCTGACATCCCGTGTGAAAGTAAACAACTTCTCACCGGTGCTTCTGAACGGTTTTACCAGCCAGCCGTTGGAAATTAAGTTGTGATCTTGTAACTTCTGCCTCATTGGGATAAAATGGTGTTAAAATAATGAAAAAAACCATCAAATTGCACGAAATTCACATTAATAGTCAGGTTGAGACTCAGTTCAGTTTATTTATATAACACCAGATCACAGCAAGTCGTCTCAAGGCGCTTCGCTAAGTAAACATTCCACTTGAACCTACTTATCAGTGCATCAAGTTCAGGTCATTATTCATTACTGTGCGCGTGTGTGTGTACTCCAGCTGGATGCTTTAGGGCCCAGAAGAGGGTTTATGCTAATGTGCAACAATAGTCCACCATGGGTTAAAGTTTCTTTCCGGAGTATTTCTCTTATCCGATGGCACCATCTAGTGGCTGACAAGCATATCACACAAAAAGTCTGTCGCTCAGTTTTTTTAAGATGGTGACTTCACGTTTCTGTTTATAAATGTGCTTCTGTAGCCGACAAACAGAGCTAAAACACGTTGATTTACGAGTATTATTCTCATGTCATGTTGTGTTCTCATATATTTATATTTTAGAGACTTACTTCAATCAAATCAATCAAATCAATCAAAGATACTTTATTAATCCCAGAGGGAAATTAGAGTTTCAGTACACACAATTCAGAGATCAGACATACGTGGGCAAGACACATGACAAGAATTGGTGACTGTGGTCATTCGCAACCCTGAGTCGCACTACCTTAATAGAGGTCAGAGGGTTACATGAGGATTGGTTCAGGTGGAGGGAATAAAAAGGCACTTCAGAGTTACCCTCCACCGGGAGGGCAGCTTTCCTCTGCAAAAAAACAACAACAAAAAAAAACACCTCAGACAGACATGCAACAGACTTCAGACATCACACAACACAAGTGTCCACTAGGTGGGGTGGTGGGTTGGAACTCTCCACACTTCAGTTCCTGCAGCCATGATAAGCAGCGCATGTCACCTCAGTGTGGATAGGGGAAGGAGCATTGAGGGTTGGAGGGTTGCAGTGACCCTGGAATGTTTCAGCGGCCTTCCCGCAGTCCCGCCCAGGCTGGGAATGGATACAGAGTTGAGTTGCCATAGCGACGGCACATTCCACGTATCTTCTGAGGGGGGAGTTTTCGTTGGAGCCTTGCAGGCTCAAGGACACCAGATTCCGATTAGAAATTGTTTTGGGGCCAGACAGAGATAATTTCCTCTCTGTCTTACAGTTTGTTGGTCCTCAACCTCTCAAAATCCCAATAATGGACATTAATCTATCCCAATCTGTGCTAATTCGTCCACTCTCTCCTTGATGGCATCAGCTTTTGTGCCAAAGAATGAATCTCCGCCAAAGTCCCAAGCTTACTCCGCATCAGTCGAGGTATTCCTTAAATTTGAAGCAAGTAAGCGGTAGTTTAATACTATTGGTTAGTTTTGGTCGGCATTCAGTTTCCTATTGCACGGAGCTCTACGGGGCAGGGGACGTGCTTAGCATTTCATCACAGTACATGATGAGACAATCACTTTTACGGATTTCAGAAAAATCATACATCATTTCTGAAAGAGGAAAACTCCAGAAAGCAGCTTTAACTAGTAAAACACTAAAAAAAAAAGAAAAAGAAACACTATTATCTGCATTCTTATGACCTTAATATTGTAATTGTCATTAACTTCCATATCTCGTCTCGTCTACTTCCACCTGTCAGGGTCGCGGGGGCAGCATCCCATCTAGGGAGTTCCAGACCGTCCTCTCCCCGGCACCGTCCACCGGCTCCTCCGGCAGGACCCTAAGGCGTTCCCAGTTCAGAGATGCACTTCCTTATACAGAATATAATTAGTCATTATTGTCATTGTATCAGCAGGTACAATGACATTAAAGGTGCTCCCCCCAAACTGCTTGCACCTTGCACCACAAAGCGTTACAACACAAGGAGGTAGAAAAACATAGTAAAATATGTTAAGAACGTAATTAAAAAGCACAGCAGCACAATAACCTTAACAGCCCCAAATAAGTAAAAGTTGAAACTCTGATTCTTTTTTCTGGTTGTGGAAGTTTTAAAGGTTAAATATCGGTCTAAAATGATATCACGAAACAGCGAGAAGGAAACGCTTTAATAGCTGAGGGGAAAATCCCATCCTCGGGCTATGGACAGGTGTCAAGATAAACCGCTCTGGGTGGTACTTATGATAGCACAACAAACGGCAGCTTCCTAGGAATAAAGAATCAACACATGATTCCACTTATGATTTCAATGAAATCTAAACAAATGTTGATGGTGCCGACAAATGGCTCATTTAGTTTTAGGTCGTGTTCACTGAGTACAACCAGCCTTACGGGAGTGATTGAGAAACTCAAACTGTCAAAAATTCCAGTGAGACTGTGATAAACATTTTGAAACATCTTAGTAGAAAATGTAAAAGGTGTGGAGATCAACAGGTTTGGCTTGCTGACAAGTGAATAATTTATTCAGTGGTCTTAAAAACACCAACAAAGAGCAAACGTCTCACACTTATGAACTGGTCAGTTTAAGTTAACCTGATTTATAACTTTGAATTAAAAAAATCAAAAAGAAACTAAAACCCGTGGTATTGAAGTTCCTGCTTCCTGACTGAATGCTGAATAGCTGCTAGCTGAATTCATGAATGGGTGTGTCTCTTATGCATGTAGTAATTCCTGACTTTCATCTACTCTCATTCATTTCTTTCGGTTCTGCTTTCAGTGTTCAGCTGGAAGAAGCATCGCGACCAAAACAGTTCATAAAATCTATCAATTATTTCTCTATAGTTCATATGTAGTTGTCATTTATTTAGTAAACCTTAGTTTTGTTTGTCATTTTTGTTGTGTTTTCCTTTACTGTTACACAACGTGGTCATTATGATATATTCTGTCATAATCTAAGACGTAATATTAAAAAATGAATGCGTTTGTGAGGAGAGCGATTCAACCAAAACAGCATTCGGGATTTTATTTAGAAATATGACGACCAGAAGTATGTTAGCGTATGTTAGCGTTTTATGTTGAAACCTATCCCGGCCATTCGTTAGTTCATTTTGAAAAATTACAACCGTAAGTGTGTTAAATGACAACTACATATGAACTATAGAGAAATAATTGATAGATTTTATGTAATATTTTACGTTGAAACCTATCAATTACAAGCGTAAGTATGTCTGCCGTTTTATTTTGTAATGTGTCCCATGCATTTCCCGTCCTGACCGTTTTGAAATATTGAAAGGAATAAAAGCTCAATGTTTCTGAGTGCAGTGGAAGAGAAAGAGAACTATGACATAGTTGGAGGACTTAAGAACAAAATCAGCACAGATTGGAATGATATTGATATGGTAACAGTAAAAACAGTCATTGATAGTGTTGTAAAACCATTAACATATATATTCAGTTTGTCAATTCAAAAAGGGGTTTCTCCACAGGATATGAAAGTGGCTAAAGTTATTCCTGTTTACAAAACTGGTGAAAGGCATCATTTTACAAACTACAGACCAGTGTCAATACTCTCCCAGTTTTCTAAGATACTGGAAAAACTGTTCATAAAAAGATTTGGCAGTTTTGAGGAAAAACATGAATTATTGACAGATAGCCGATTTGGGTTCAGAAGCAACAGATCACCAGCTTTGGCACTGATAGATCTAATGGAAGAGATAACAGAATGTATGGATGTATGTACTCAGAGTTTTTTTAGACCTAAAAAAGGCGTTCGATACTGTGAATCATTAAATTCTATTAAAAAAAATGGAAAGGTACGGGTTTAGGGGAATAGTTGGGGATTGGTTAAAAAGCTATGTAGGGAATAGGAAACAATATGTACAAATAAATGAATACGAATTTGATTTGATGGATATAGCTTGTGGTGTACCTCAAGGTTCAGTACTGGGAACAAAATTGTTTATTATGTACTTAAATGATATCTGTAGAGTATCAAAAATTTTAAAGTTTGTAATATTTGCAGATGACACAAATATACTATGTTCAGGTGTGGAATTGACACAGGTCTTGGAGATGATCACAGGAATTAACGATATTAAAAAGTGGTTTGATATAAATAAATTATCATTGAATCTAGATAAAACCAGATTTATGTTATTTGGTAACCAAAAGAACGTCAAAATTGACATTTGTGTGGATAATGTATATTTAGGAAGAGTAAATCAAATAAAATTTCTTGGTGTGATCATTGACCATAATTTCTGTTGGAAGCCACACATTACTTATGTTCAGGGGAAATTGGCACGGGTCGTTGTCATCCTGGGGAAAGCAAAGAAGATGATGGATCAGAAAGCCCTGCACATATTATACTGTGCTTTACTACGGCCATGTATGAGTTACTGTGTAGAGGTCTGGGGAAACACATACAAAAGTAACATACAGACGATAACTATAGTACAGAAAAAGGCCATTAGAATAATAAATAATGTGGGGTACAGGGACCATACAAATGCACTATTTACCAAAATCCAAGCTATTAAATTCCAAGACTTGGTGAAGCTCAAAACAGCACAAATAATGTATGAAGTAAGAAATAAATTGCTTCCTAAAGAAATCTGTTTATTGTTCAAAGAAAGAGAAGGTGGATATAACTTAAGAGGGAAATGGAAAGTGCTAGAACAACTTTAAAAACTATGTCTATCACAATTGCAGGAGTTAAATTATGGAACAGTCTAAAAGAAGAGATAAAAGAAAGTAAAAACATAAACCAGTTTAAAGTAAAATATAAAAACCAAATTTTAATTTAATGTAAAGTGATGAAGGAGCTATTCCTCAAGGTTATTTATCCTCTATCCACAGACGCCTTTGACACAGCGCCAGAGTGCATGAAACAGCCTCAAGGTCATGCATTTGCTTCTAAACAGAAGACAGAAGATGAAGACTCTTTTATTAAATCAAAGAACTCTATTTTCAGTAAAGCTAATCAAAACAACTGTTAGTCAATAATACAATGTGACCGAACTGTGAAATCACAATATTATGATTAATATGTTTTAATAAGTAATATGACTTAACATATCACATGACACATTGCTGTTGCTGATCCAATCAGAACCGTCCTAGTCTGAAGCGTGGCGAGTCTCTGTGGTGTTTATAAATCTGTCAGCTTTGATTCGACCAGAATTCAAAACATCCAGATTAATAAAACCAGTTCCAACGCCATCTTAGTCCAGTTCAGAAGATCTCATTGAGTTCACCGCATGCTAAGCGAAGTATCGGACCGGCCATCCGAACTTCACTTTTTAAGCGGAGAACCGTCAAGCTGGGAAAAATCTGTTGTTTTTACCAACCAAGCAACGGTACCTTTCAGAATAAAAGCTGAACTCGCTGACCCAAGAGGGGTCCCCCTTTTGACGCTGTGAACCACCTGTCGCTTTTTACCTGGAGACTATCCAAAGATTGGTTTGTCGTACTGTCGACGCTGTTTCATCGGTTCCAGTACCAGAGGAGGGTCTGTGGACCTGGCATCCGGATCTGTACGGAGGTCTCAATTCTGAGGGTATGTGGATGCGACAATATGGCGTCTCATGTGGTTATGACAACAAGTCTCAAACGCTGATCAGCTAGGAGCAAAACATCATCTCCCACTCAGACTTGTCTCTCCGGATACGAGGGTTCTGAATGACACTCATTCACACACACGCCAACCATCTCACCTCATTCTAACAGAACATCCGTCATTAGCAGAGTTAGTCTTGTTAAATTGTTTAAAATTATTTAGTAATAAACCATCTTAAACATTTGAAGGTCTCTTCTCTTGTCTCTCAGTTAATACAAAGTGTTATCTAAATCCCTGCATTGAAAAGTTCCAATCTTCTGATTTAAATAACCCAGTGGTTCGTAAGATGGATTTCATACTAGATGTGAAATTTTAATGTCTTAAGGTCCTTAATTAAATGTAAATTACTAATGTTACATAAGTATAAGAATGAAGAAAACAGGGTTAACCCAGAACGGTAAAGTGGATGGTTATGCTGTTGTGCTTCTTTTCAATGTATTTTTTTTTCTAAACATATGTTTATTTAGTTTTTTTCTTCCCCCTTTTTTTTCCCTTTACCCCCCTTCCATCAACAGTATCCAACACAAAAATACATTTTCAATCTATTTTTATTTTTTGGCTTGTTTGGTTTATCTTCTTTCTCCATAACTGGTGAATCTGCAAATTTACACATTCTCTGCTTTCCATATGTTGTTTTGTTTGTATATATACATATATATATATATTTTTTTTTCTTTTTTTCTCATAGGTGGTTTGTTTAATTTAAGATGGAAAGAAAATTAAATGAATAAGATGTAAAACTTGGGGGTAGGGACAAATAAGTTAATACTTCTGCCTACTCCTTTTCAAACAAATAATGAAATTATGTTTTGTAATGATACGTGTGTGAAATGTTTGAAACAAAAATGAACTGAACGGTGGAGGTCTGCAGCCAGGTGCCTCTCACAAGCTCTGCGGTTCAGGAACGGCTCTCGTCTGACTTTGGTTTTTATTTGAGACTTGAGCAGATAGAGTTACCTTTATTGTAGAAAAGAACCAGGTGGAATACTCCGACTGGTGTTCTGATGCATACGTCACATTGTTCAGTGCACTGATTGGTGCTAGCACTGCCCATTTGTGTGCAGAGACAACCGTAGACACCGCCCCAGCTCCGAGCTCCGTCCGTGCATCCACATATATCGGGTGGCCTGCTAGGCTGAGGCCTAGTCCACACGTAGCCGGGTTTTTTAAAAAACGGATATCCGCCCCTCCAAAAACTTGCATTCACACCACCTCGTTTTAAAATAAAACTCTGTCCACACGTACCCGGATAAATACGTTGTTAAGGACATGCCAGACCTGTAGGCGGCAGCACTTCCCCCGTTCTTAACCTCGTCCTTCGTCTGTGGTCTTCCGCAAGGAGCAGTAATTCCACTTGCAAAAACAAACAAGCAAAAAGCGCTTGGACAATTGATAAAGCGAGCGCAGCTCTGAGGGCATCCATGATGTCGGCTAGTGTAAACACAGGTCGCACACGTGATGTCAGCATTTTTTTGTCGCGGAAAGTGACGTTGCGGACCTTAAAACTCCGGTTTTGTCCGTCCACACGCAGACACCCAAAATGGAGAAAACGCAGATCTTCACTTTGGCCGGAGTTTTTAAAAAGATCCGTTTTCGTGTGAAAAAACTCCGTTTTCGTGTGGATGACAGGCCAAAACGTAGAAAATATCTACGTTTTGGCAGATCCCCGGCTACGTGTGGACAGGGCCTGAGATTTGTCAGCTCCTGTGCTTCAGAAACATGAAAAATGCTATGTTCTGGTATTTTTTTAACCTGCTATTAATAATCGCAATTCAGATTTTGATTTGATTGACAGTCCTTGTTCAAATCCAGCTCTGTGCGTTCACCAGGAGGGAATCACCTCCTGAGCTTCATCACCCTGAACTCGCCGTGCTTCTTTGAAGCGCGATGTTTCAGTTCTCCTTTGGGATGTTGGGTGTTGGCCGCGTCTCACCCGCTCTGTAACTCCTGTGGTTTCTGTCGCAGCGTTCAGGAACACTTTTGGAGAAGTGCCATTATCTGTCTGCTGTTGTTCACTACAGGCCCCGGGAGGCCTGGTGTGATTATATTGTGTGTTTATTCTTCTGTTTTATGGCTGATAAAGGCCTTCCTCAGGTTTAATAAAGCTTTTCTCCTTCTTTATTTATTTATTTGTTTACTTTTTCTCTTCTTCAGGAGTTCCAGCAACTGGAACGAGAGAACTCCGCTTTACTGAAGGAGATCGCTCTGCTTAAGAAAGACGTCCAGCGGTACGAGGCGGCGCTGGAGCATCACAGACCTCACTGCCGCCTCGTAGGCTCCTGCTCACCTGCTGCTGACTGCAAAGCCAGTCCCAGTCCTCCTCTGGCTCCAAACTCCTGTACACCTCCGCTCTCTACCTCCTCACACGCCCAAGTGGCTTTTCAAGCCTTCGGCTACACAGAGCAGCTTGATCTGCCGTCGTCAGCTCCTGCTGCAGCATCTACAAAAGGACCAGCCTCCTCTTCATCATCATCCTCCCCTTCCTGCTCTTTGCTGGTACCTTATTCCGCCTCCTTCTCATCGCAACCAGCTCCTCACTCCTTGTTTAGTGACCCGCCCGTTCCTCCCCCTTCAGCTCGGCTCCAGGCGGACTCGATTCATGAACGTTTAGCTGGAGACGCGTTTGTAGCTAAACTGGACTCCTCCTTTGCTGCTTCATCTAAAGAACAGCCCCCTGTTTCCCTGTTGGGGTCTGACAGCTCGCGTGTAGCTAAGCCACGTTGTCCCGTGTACCACCCCCGGCTTTATCCATGCCACCTTAGCGGAAACCCAAACAGCACAGCTGCACCTTTACGACCACCTCCTCCTCAGTATCATCAGGCTGTCTCGGGCCTCGGGCCTTCTGCTGCTCGTTACGACCAGCCTGAGTCCCTGCTGTCCATGCTCACTGTCCCCAGTCCTCTAGGTGTCCCTCCAGCTACCTCTTGCAGTTTTGACGGGTCTCTCTTCCAGCCAGCACCAGCACCTCTACTGGATCCTTCCAAAGACTACTCCCTATCTGAGTTCCTGGAATTCAACGACTGGATCCTGAGTGGGACTGGTAACCAGTAGTATGAGACCAGACCCCCATCAGAGTCCTGCACTAAGAAAACTGTCATGTAGATGTTCTTCTTTACAAAGCATGATGCAATAGTTTAGAACCACCTCATTTCCCAGCTTTGCTTTCAGATCCTTCGTAGCTGGTCTGTGGATCTTAACATGAAACTATGTGTGGAAAACTTAAACTAATGCTCAGTGAGCCGAATTCTCATTATAGGAAAGTACAACTAAGCTTGAATAAGTCGGAAACTGAATCAAAAAAGCAAAGAACAAAAAAAAAAAAAATCTGATTCTGCCATAACTTCCTGTTTCTAGAGGAAGTCCCTGTTGGTTCTGAACCACACAGAAATCCCAACAATACCA